GTTGTTTTATTTCCTTACTTCATTTAACAGTTTTGTTTTAATCTGATATATTCTGGCAATTTAAGAAGAGAAAGTGAATATAGGATTTGGCATTGAAAGACAGAAGGTGGGGTTTTGAAGAGAAAAATAAGCCTCAAACAAATGTTATTGCATTTATTTTTTTTTTAAAACACAAAAAGTATTATATATTTTTTTAAGCCAAATTTACAAAGATGGAATATGAACGACTGAATATATCCCAGCTAGACTTTAATATTTTTTTTTAGTAAATATTGATTCTTGGCATGTAAATGTAAGATAATACCTAAAAATATTTTAAAAACAATGATGATCTTATACTTAGAAATACAAAAATATATATAATAAAGAAAGATAAAAAGAGATATTTAGTTTACACACATTCTTCAACCAACAAACTATTCTTGAATTACTACAATTCAGCCACAATCATGTCAAATCTGGCTGGAAGATTAAGTTTTCTGGGTCTGAATTTAATAGCGCAGCCCTAAGGATATAAGAACCACTCTGGAACATTCCGTTTAAAAAAATAAGAAAAACGAAGAAGCTAAAATTGTTTCACCTTTGAGACCACTGCTTTTCCAGACTTCGATGATAAATCATCATGAATGACACTAACCGAAATGAGTTTGATATTCTTTTGTATATTTGTCAACATTTTAAAGCATTCTGCATCCAAGAGAACTTTCTGAGTGTTCTTTGAAAAGATTGAATGGCCTTTCGTTGGTTGATATTTCACATTATTTGATTCGTACTTGTGAAAGTTTTTATCTCTCTTGGCCTTAGCAGAATAAATGTTCTGTTTACAGCTCCGGTCTAATGGCACAAGCTAACAACACCAGAACTCCCTTATGCCATTACCTCAACTATAAAGACATAAAAGTCATGAACAGTAATCCTGCACTGTGGGGCTTTTTCTACAAACCATGATACCACGAATAAGAAAATAATCTAGACATCACCATGCAAACTACAACAGGGAAAAACAATAAAATATATACATAAATACATTTACTTTCTAACCCCTCCAGGTATTTTTTGTTTTTGTATTCCTCATTCTTGAGTTCTCTACCAGAGACCTGGGAGTCTGAGAGTTCTGCGCAGTATCTTTCCTAGAACTGCACTCTTCTGGACAGAAATCTCAGATTTCCCACCTGGAAACTGCTAAAGCCACTTCCCCAACTTGGGGGTCTCAACCCTGAATGCTGCTATCACAACTGGGACTACTACTGCCTTCATCCTTTCTAGCTTCTTTTTCAGTTCTGGTATTTGTCTACAACCTAATATTTATTCTTCTTGATGTTATGATAACTCGATAACTAGGTATTTCCACATACACCACCACAGTCTTTCATTTCTTGTCTACCACCACAATGTCAAGATGATTGGCCAGTACTTGCTTGTCTGTATGGATTTCAAAGTGTCCCACATGATCGTAGCCGTATCATTCTCGTCTATCCTTTGAGGAACCTCCCATCTGGATCATAAAAATAATCAATTTCATTACAGCCTTTTAGGATTTTCTCAGAAATGTTGGCTTTCTAAACATTGTTTATTGGTTTAAAAGCAGGGATGGGCTGTCAACTTAAGTGGAAACTCCAGTCCCCTAGAGCCATTTAGCTTGCTTAAATGCTTTATGGGTGAAGAGTGTCCTCTTTTTTTTTTTAATAACTTTACTATAAGTGCAAATTTCAATAGAAATTGCCACTTTTATATATTGTCCTTGTTACACACCCCTGACTTTGATCAGACAACCAGCTCTATTACTTTCTGGTTTATGTAGCTCAGTGGCGCTAAACCCAAGAATACACAGAGCATCTACTTTCCAAATACTTCTTACTGAGCTACATTGGGAAAAGTTTGTGAGTTAACAACTACAGAAAGCATGGACAGGAGGGGGAGGTGGGAAAAGGCTTCAGATTAGAGACATGCAGCTTTTGAAAGGTGTTTTTAGATATACATCCAAATACAAAAAAAAAAAGCATAATTAAATGAATAGATGTTTTCATTGGGGGTTTAACTATTAAAACTATTTTTTTATATTTAAAAATTTTTTTAGCAGTGGAGTTTTCCTTTAAGTCATCAACTGAGTACATTCACACCAATTTCACAATCTTATCCATTAGCCATTCCAAACACGTCCACAACCCAAATACTGATTATAGTCTGGAAGAGAGTTCAGCCCCAGACTCTGCAGTCTGTTGGGAAATATATCAGTGGATCATATCAAGCCCAGATAGCATTGAGATTGTGGGCCAACAACTCTAGCATGTATCCACACAGTGCTGGGTAATCAAAGAGCCTTCCCAAATACTGACTACTGCCTCTGTTGCAATACACTTTTTGTTGCTTTTAATCAGAAGGTGGAGCTGTCAGGCTGTAGCACATACATGTATGTACGTAGTGGGGAATCGCGATGCATCCTAGCACAAATCTAAACCCATTTACCCCCCCAATAACGACAGACCACTTAGTATGGATGAACAGGCCACAGTATTTATTATCACAAACTAAATTACTGCATAACACATCCATAACTTTATTAATTAAATCTCTTCTTTCTGTAACCAAAATGTTAGACATAAATAAGCATAAATTAACATATATACATATATAACTCCACCCATAGTGTTATACAGTGACCCAACCGTCCTTTCCAATAAACATACAGTGGTTCCTAATCACCACTTCCTCTCACCTCCCCCCCCCCCATCATAAAAAATCATATATTTCCAATGCCCGCCATCAGCCGACCTTATCCAAGCTCGATGGGCACGACACCTCAGGCAACCTAATGTTTAACCTTTTGAAGCAGGGGAGGTTGAGACCTAAAAAAACTTGTTCATCTCATTCCATATACTTAAACGTAACCACTCAAACTCAATTGGCAAGGACATACCCCCGGCTAGCTGTGACGAAATATACCAATAGGGCGGGCGGGAGGGAAGCTGTTTGCTGGCCCGAATCTCAAGTGGCACTGAGGTAAGACCTCCCCCACACTAACTTACACAGAACTTCTGGAATAAAAGGGAATCATGACATGTCACACATGTCATGTGTTCTTAAGGGGTTAAACAGATCCCATGCATCTATCCCCACACTCCTACATGTGCTCTTGTCCGCTTAGCTGCGCTATCTCCCCAGGGCCTATCTGTTGACGTCTGCCCTCTCAGGAGCTTGTCAGTAATAATTTCTAGTGCCTAATCTGAATGTATTGGAGGATTTACTGTTGCTTGTTATTTTTAAATATCTGTCCTCTATAGTCTCTATGGTGCTGGTGAGGAAATATGATATGATCTTATCATGCTTCACTTCTCTCTCTAGTACTGTGCAGTCATTTGTTTCAGAGACATACAGTTTTCTTTCTTTTTTTTAATTAAATCGGTCTGCTCCTGTTTAAAGGGTTAAGCCAGGCACCATGATCACTTCAGTAATTTGAAGTGGCCATGGTGCCTGGAGTCTGTTGTGCAGCATTTCACTGTGGAATGTTGCACATACTGAGTTTAACCATTTTGTAACACCTGTGGCAGCATCAAGGGGAATCATCAGCCAGCCCAAAACAAGATTTCAGGGCTGGCTAATGTCAATTCTGTGCAAATTTAGATGCCTAGACATTCATTCATTGGCTGAGAAAGGTCAGCTGACACACTCAACCCACGAATGAGTAGTAGCATCAACATCTGGCTTCTGCACCTCTGCATGTATGTATGTCTTATACTTTGCTTCAGAGGAGACCAAGTGCCTGGCAGGACGAGGTAAGAGGGCAAAGTATTTTAAAATGAATTGTCCCATTACTGGATGCAATATAAATAATAATATTGCATCCAGTAATAGGACAATCCATTTTAAAATACTTTGCATAAAATTATATATACTAATTTTCAATTCATATTAGGATGTCCAATGGGTTAAAAGAACAGATGTAATTTGCTTTTCTGTACCATGAGAAGTCTGGAATGTGGGTGTATAATTAGAGGGCCAAAGGTCTTCATATGTGTCCTTATACAGCCTGAGTTTTAGCTAAAAGTTCAGACATCATCATAATCAGTTTCTACTTTGCTACAATAAATTTGCACACTGGATGGAACTTGAGTGTCTGTACCATCAATACATTTTTGCAAATCATTATAATCATGTCTATCCTAGAACAGTAGATAAAATAAATTAGTTCCAAGCACTCAGGATTGCTGCAGGAAGGTAGGTTTATTGGAACAAAAAGTGCAACGTTTCTTTCTACACAGAAGCCTTTTTAAGCTTGATAAAGGCCTTTGTGTAGGCTGAAACATTGCTCTTTTTGTTCCAATAAACCTGCCTTCCTGCAGAAATCCCGAGTGCCTGGAACTAATTTATTTTATCTACTGTTCTAGGATTGACAAGCTTGATAAAGGCCTCTGTGTAGGCCGAAACGTTGCACTTTTTGTTCTAATAAACCTGCCTTCCTGCAGCAATCCTGAGTGCCTGGACCTAATTTATTTTATCTACTAAACTGGGTTTTGCCAAGCTGGCCCTGATAAGCACCTGGAATCCTAAGTATGAGTGCGGTATCCTCCGTTTATGATTTATCCTAGAGAGTTGAAGCTACAAGGATGGCTACTTACAATGAGGTTGTGAATGTTATGGGAATTGCTGTGCTACTTCTCACATCTACAGGTTAGCTGGTATGGAAGCTGAGAAAGCCAAATGAGCTTGTGAGAAAGGAACTCTGGGACACAATGAAATAGTCCTCACAAGGAACTCATGCAGAAATAATCCAGTGGCAGAAAAATAATGGAAAAACAAGAACTGAGATGGAAAAACAAAAACTTTAAGACAGGCACTTCTCCAGTACCTATACACAATAACCGTCAGATTACCTCTCTCACAGAGCAGTAGCCAAACCCCATCGGTGCCTCTGATACCTGAGGCAACATGGGAAAGAAGGTGAAAAGGGGGAGGGCAGCAAGAATATCGGAGACCTCCTTCAGGTGAGGCCTAGGCCAAAGATGGTGGCTCGGCCGTACCATTACGTCTCATCTTCTAAGAAGGAATTACTGGATGCTCCGGATCCGATACAGGGAGCTGTTCACCCTGAGGAACTACTACAGTCTAAAGACAGAGGGGCCCAAGCCACCAAAGGTGACATCATGAACCTGATGGTTCACATACACACCTTCTTCCATGCCAACCTGGCAGTGGTACAGGAGGAACTAATGGCAGTCACAGACAGGGTAAAAGCAATGGAGAAAGATGTGTCCTCCCTCTCTCAGCACCAAGCAGATGTAGTGGAGCAGATCAGACACCTACAGGCCTCACATAAGGCTATACAGGCCCGACTGGAGACTATGGATGATGCGCGTCTGTGCAACAACCTCAAAATTTAGAGGCATCTCAGAGTACATCCTCAACGGCGAACTACCCCACATCCTCCAGCATCTCCTGTCTTACCCCATTGACAAACCAAGAAGGTGCTTACAGGCTCCCTAAATCCACCAGGGCACTAGCAGCAGCCCCTCGGGATGTCCTGCTCCATTTCCAATCATTTAAAGACAAGCGGGCAGTCATGGAGGCAATACGTTCCAAGGTCCCCTTCAAGTCTGAAGAACTACAACTCACCTTCCTGTAGGACTTATGCAGAACAACACTGGACTGGAGGTGCTCAGTCCACAAAGTAACGGAGATCCTAAGAGATGCTGGAATTACCTACAAATGGGGCCCAGCCTGATCCCTTATCGCTACCAAGGGGGATATCATGTACTGACTTCAAACACCAGAGGCATCAGACTCTTTCCTAGAGCAAAATCACACATAATCTGTCCTCCCCCCACCCCCTACGGTGCTCAGGTGTTATTGAGCAGCACTAATACCTCCCCACAAACCATAGTAATGATGGAACCGCGTAATACAGCACACCAACATATTATTATTTCATTGTATTTAATAGTTTTTCATTGTTCTTCACTTGCCAACCTAGTATACTCTAGGTGCAATCTAGCAACCTTACCAGGTTACAACCGACCATTTCGGGCCTTCCTCTTCATCACACCTTATGCAACAACAGTTTCACAAAACGTGCCCTGCCAACGATCCCAAAGGCATTAGCTTGCTACCCAGGTGAAGTTTACCGGAGAACAACAACCCGTTCCAATTATTTACCTCATTATAACAAAAACAAAAAACCTTGCTCCGGTTGCAGCTAGGCGAGCATAACAGCAACATGTCAATTTTGTCTGTTCATTTATAATTTTGTTGTACGAGCTGTGTAATGCTTATGTTTATTTTCTGTTGCAAGCCACCCTGGAGTGGCACTAACAGAAAGAATTTTTTAAAAAAAACAACAACTTTAAGACAGCCAATGAGCTATGGGAAGGCTTAGAAGAATTTTCTAAAAGTAGCAGTCTAAACGGAATAATTTATTTATCATTTCATACCATGTTTATCAATATGATCCTGCCTGACGGAGGAGGGCTTGAAAAACATGCAAATGATGAAATCAGAGTGATTCTGGTTTTAGCAAATCATCCAGAAAGCTACAATTCATTAATTCATGCACTAGTGAGGATTTCTCTGTAAAATATGCTACAGCATGTGTTAAATCAGAAAATGCAGAAAGTGTTAAAACCCAAGCATTTGTTATACAAAATACTCAGCAGCCTGTCAAAGGAAAAGAAATCGGCTTATCACAGAAGCCAAGGCAACGCATTTACTAGACTTGGAAAGTTATCTCAGATCAAACTGCAATTCGGACAAATTCCAGTCAATTAGTTGGTGATCAAAATTTCTAAATGGACTAACCAAAATGCACAATGCTGAACATATTTTGTGGGTGGGGGGAGTCAGTTTTTCTAAATTCCACCCATAGCACAAAAAAAAAGCGAGATAAATAGTGTTGAGTGGCACGCAACTTACGTTGTGAGTTCTGGTCTTTTTTTGTTCTATATTGGTTCTGCTATATTGCACTATGTCTGTTCCCTTTTGTTCTTTTTATAGATCTAGTGGACTTCTATTGGTAAAATTCTGCAAGTATATTAACTACTGGTTGTGTATTGTAAACACCTAATCACAATTCAGATTCACAACTATAAACACGTACAATATACGTGTACTGTAAGTTCAATATAATATGCCAAAAACAGAAAGAAAAAAAAAATAGTATAATACTATTTATCCTAATTCAATAGGATAAATGCATATTTACAACTGCAACAGTATTATTCACTGGCAACAGCACAGAGGATAAATGGAAGGTCTTTAAACAAATTCTATAAAAGTACATTTCTCAGTACATGCAATAATGCTCTATGGAAGACCAGGGCCGGACTGGGGATACAAAGCAGCCCTGGAAAGAAAATTTGTGCCAGCCCCATAAGTCAATATGTAAGGCTATGTCTTGCCAGGACAGATGATTGAGTAATATATATATATATATATATATATATATATATATATTGCTTTTTCTAATATAAAATATTGGTCCTTTCAGGGTAAAACGTTTAATTATACAGTAAACATACGCACATGCAGACACAGGCAATTTCACTGACATTTCAGTGACACACACAAGCTCATTGATACACACACACACAGCTTAATGTGGTGGTACTGGTGTCTATAGCATGTCCCTACAGGCTTTTCAACGTAAACACTGACTTTTCAGACAAAGGCAGTGTTTACATTGCTTCAAAGTGACACTGCTAGTGACAGTCCCTCAGACGGTCACTAGAGGTGCTTCCTGTGTTAGTGCCCTCCCGCCCTCGCGCGCTGCTGAATGAGACTGGCGCCGGAATATGACGTCATATTCCGGCGCTGGTCTCATTCAGCTGCGTGCTGGGGAGCAGAGCCAGCGCAGCTCGCGCAGCTCCCTCAGCGGCCGCCAGGACAAGTCCGCCAGCGGCCGCCAAAAGACCTCCACAGCGGCCAGGGGAGGGCTGGCAGCCTTAGGCCTGGGGGGCAAAACCAGTCAAGTAGACTGGTGCACCTGCCCAGGATCAGAGCCGGTGCAAGGATTTTTGCCGCCATCGACAAAATTAAAATTTGCTGCCCCCACATGTCACATCACAATGCCCCACCCATATGACCTGCCATATGAACTAACGCCAGTGCTGCACACAGTGTGTGTTTACATTCAAAAGCCTGCAGAGACCAGCTATAGACACCAGAACCACTTCATTAAGCTATAGTGTCCCTTTAATGTGAGGTAAATTATAGATTAGTGTCACTAATAATATACTAGATTGCCTATTTACAAGCAGATGAGGATGATGATGGGCTGCAGTTTGGCTCCACTGGTCTGGTGTAGAACAGGATCTCTGGAGGCTGTTTGCAACTGTGGTCACAAAATTCAATGTTCTGGGAGAATTGGAAGCAGCTCAATTTTTTTGGGGCCCCTTACACAGCTCAAGGTCTGGGCCCCAGGGCCTGACGGTGAGTATGCCCATAAGGCCCATAAAGTCCACTTATATGTTCCACCTACCCATGAGTTCGCTCACAGGGAGTGGAGTGTGTAGGGGATGTGTTATGTGTTATTGTAGAGGATCTAATATGTGTGCTTATGGTATGTAGTGTTTAGGGTTACCAGTTTGTGCAGGTGATGCAGTGTGTTTGTGTTTAGTGGAAGCAGTGTGTATTTGTGTATAAGGGATGTATTATGTGTTTCTGGTTGTGTGTTTGTATGCATAAGGGATGCAAGGTGTGTGTCTGTATGTGTGTGCATGAGATGCATTGTGTTTCTGTGTGTATGTAAGAAAAGAAGTGTGTGTGTTTGCATTGTCTGTTTCTGTGTATGTGTGCAAAGGATGCATTGTCTTTGTGTGTAAGGGTTGCATTGTGTGTGTGTGTGTGTGTAATGGATGCATTGTGTGTTTCTCTGTGTGTAAGGGAAGCAAGTTGTGTTTCTGTGTATGTATAGGGATGCATTGTGTGTGTGTGTGTGTGTGTGGGTGCGTTGTGTGAAAGAGCTCCCTGCCCCTGTCCTATAGAGCTGCCCCTTCTTCTTATCCCCCCCCTCCCCTCTTCTTATTCCCCTCCCTCCCCTCTTCTTATTCCCCTCCCCCCCTCTTCTTATTCCCCCCTCTTTTTATTCCCCCCATCTTATTCCCCTCTCCCCTCTCCCCTCTTCTTATTCCCCTCCCTCCCCTCTTCTTATTCCACCCTCCCCTCATCTTATTCCCTCCCTCTTCTTATTCCCCTCCCCTCTTCTTATTCCCCTCCCTCCCTCTTTTTATTCCCCTCCTCTTCTTATCCCTCCTCCCCTCTTCTTATCCCTCCTCCCTCTTCTTATTCCCCCCCTCTTTTTATTCCCCCCTCCTCATCTTGTTTCCCCCTGCCTCTTTTTATCCCCCACCCTCCTCTTCTTATCCCCCCCCTCCTCTTCTTATCCTCTCCCTCTTCTTATTCCCCCCCTCCCCTCATCTTATTTACCTCTTCTTATTTCCCTCCTGTATTCCCCCCCTCCCCTCATCTGTTACCCCCCTCCTGTCTTATTCCCCCCTCCCTCTTCTTATTCCCTCCCTCTTCTTATTCCCCCCCCTCATCTTGTTCTGCCCCTCCCTCTTTTTATTCCCCCCTCCCTCATCCTTTATTCCCCCCTCCTCCCTCTCTTTACTTGCACCTCCTGTAGCGTGGCCGAGCTGCACTCCGGTCCGCGGTGGCCGGCCGGAGTGATAGGAAGGTGCACACTGAGTGTGCACTTCCTGTCAGTCCGGCGACAGGAAACAGAAACTCCTGTTCCGCGCGGAGTTTCTGTTTCCTGTAACCGGCCGGACTGACAGGAAGTGCACACTCAGTGTGCACCTTCCTATCAGTCCGGCCGGGCACCGCGGACCGGAGTGCAGCTCGGTCACGCTACAGGGGAGAAGCTGCAGCCGCCTGAGGCTCTTATCAGAGCGCTCGGCGGCTGCAGTATTTAAAGGGCCGGCCCAGGAACGCGGCCGGCCCCCAGGTGCCGCGGCCCACCGGGAAATTTCCCGGTATCCCGGTGGGCCAGTCCGGATCTGTGGAAGACTTTGACGGCACTTATGAGAGTAATAACATATCTTAAAGGATCTGCTCATCTTAAACTAAAGTTATGAGCTATCAAAGATCCCAGGCTAATAGGCTACACAGATGCAGAATGGGCTGGAGGCCAATCAGATTGTAAATCTGTAAGTGCCATGTGTTCTTATATGGGAATGGACCTCATCAGCTGGACTAGCCATACGCAAGAACTAGTGGCATATTGTTTTAAAGAATGTATCTCCACAGCAGAAGCATGCAAGGGAACACAATGACTTAACTAACTTCTAGAGGACTTTGAAATGACAATGGAATAGCCTTCCAGCTGAAGTGGTAGAGGTTAACACAGTAAAGGAGTTTAAGCATGTGTGGGATAGGCATAAGGCTATCC